AAGTGATTTTATTCCTGGTGTGAGTCTCAGCTCTGCTCTCCATTTGTGCTGAAACCACTTATCCTAATTTCAAGAGGGAAAGTAGAGCCTGATGGCTGGTATCTGAAAGGAGTCCTGCAAAATAGGGCCCACGTGACACTCTTAGGCACAAAAGATGACCGTAGCCATGGGATTGAGGTGAGGGGGTGTCATGTACCATAGACAGTGAGTTGAAAAATATGGCTAGATTCCACCCCTCCAGTTAAGCTGGCTACAGCCCATTACTGCCCACTGTACTTATGGGTCAAGTTCTCAATTCTCAGGGATGTCATGTTGGGCACGTAGACCCTCTGCTCATACTTGTCCTGGAGTCAGACCCAGGGTGGAACCTCTTCTGTCCCACTATGGACTTGGAGCATGGCTCTCCATTTTAAGTCAGGCCCAAAGCCCCACAAGATCTCCTCCTGCTCTGTTCCTGGCTCCTTGATCACATGAAACAACACAGAACCTCCTTGGATCCCCTTCAGAGGAATGTAGGCTCCAGAATCCTGAAGTGCAGAACCATGTGCTCCAGAAATCTTGATCCCAGTGGTGCGGACACCAGGGCATTGGGAACAGGAAAGTGAGTGTTTTTTGATCAAGGATAAAAGAGAGAACCACAAGACCTCTTTTGAAATGAAATCCATCCAATACACTCCCTTGATTCCTGGAGGACAGCCTAGTACGATGAATTTGAAGCAATTCTGGAATCAAGTCCTGGTTCCAGTGGAGTGTAACCTTGAACAGGTTACTTAACTTGCTAACCAGCAGTTTCCCTACCTGCCTCAAAATGATAGTGTGAATTAAATAAGCTCAAGAATTAAAAACGTCAGCATATTTTCTGACACATATTAAGTGCATATCTGTAGGAGGCAGGTTCCAAAGTGGGTCCAAGGAGCCCTCCCTCCTCATGTTTACACCCTTTGTAACCACCTCCCCTGGGGTGTGGTCTGTATCTGATGACTTGCTTCTAAGGAACACGATACAGCAAAGGTGATGGGATGTCACTTAGCGATGCAAGGTGACCCATCTTGCTTGCACTCTCTCTCTCCCTCCAGACGATGAAACCATCTGCCATGTTCTCAGCTGCCCTGTGGAGTGGCCCACATGGTGAGGAACTGAGGGCAGCCTCCAGCCAAAAACCAGGGAGTTGCTGATCTCAAAGGAATCACTTTCAGCTTTTCACCACTGAGTACGATGTTATTTGCGAGCTTGACATATATAGCCTTTAGTATGTTAAGATAATTTGCTTCTATACCTAATTTGTTGAGAGTTTTTATCATGAAATCACGTTGAATTTTGTCAAATGCTTTTTATGCACCTATTGAGAAGATTGTATGATTTTTATCCTTCATGCTGTTAAGGTGGTGTATGACATTTATTGACTTGCAGATGTTGGATCTACTTGCATGCCGGGGATAAATCCCACTTGATCATGGTGTATGATCTGTTTAATATACTGATGAATTCAGTTTGCCAGTATTTTGTTTCAGGGTTTTTGTATCTATGCTCATGAGGGATATTGTCCTGTAGTTTTGTTTTCTTGTAGTGTACTTGTTTAGCTAACCTCATAAAGTGTGTTTGGAAGTAATCTCTCCTCTTAATTTTTTTTTTTTTGGAAGTTTCTGAGAATGACTGGAGTTAATTCTTCTTTAAATATTTGGTAGAATTCAGCAGGAAAGCCATCTGGTCCTGGGCTTTTCTTTTGGGGAGATTTTTTTTTTTTTAATAATTCAATCTTCTTACTTGTTATTGTCCTGTTCAGATTTTCTATTTATTCATGCTTCAGACATGGTAGGTTGTATGCTTCTAGAAATTTATTGATTTCTTCTAGGTTATTCAATTTGTTGGCCTACAAAGTTCATAGCAATCTCCTTGGTTGTTTATATTTCTGTGGTATAAGTTGTAATGTCTCCCCTTTCATTTCTGATTTTGAGTCTTCTTTTTTTCTTAGTCTAACTAAGGGTTGACAATTTTGTTTATCTTTTCATAAAACCAGTCTTAGTTTTGTTGATCTTTTCTATTGTTTTTTTATTCTCTATTTGATTATTTCTGCTCTAATCTTTATGATTTCCTTCCTTCTGCCACCTTTGGGCTTCTTTTTCTAAATCTTTGAGACATAAAATTAGGTTGTTTACTTGAAAGCTTTATTTTATTCTTAATGTAGGCATTTCTTGCTATTAACTTTCCTCTTAGTGTTGCTTTTGCTATATTTCATACATTTTAGTATACTATGTTTCCATATTTGTTTCTCTTAAGACACTTTCTGATTTCCCTTTTGATTTCTTCTTTGACTCATTGTTTATTCCAGAATGTGTTGCTTAATTTCCATTTATTTTTGAATTTTCCATTTTTCATCCTGATATTGTTTTCTAGTTTTACACCATTGTGGTCAGAAAATATCGTTGATGTAATTTCCGTCTTCTTAAATTTGTTAAGACTTGTTTTGTGACCTAACATATGATCTGTCCTTGAGAATGTTCCCTGTTCACTTGAGAAGAACGGTATTCTGCTACTGTAGGATAGAATGCTCTGTATGAGCCCATTAGGTGAACACATTAGATACATAGACTATTTGGTCTACAGTTTTGCTCAACTCTGCTTTTTCCTTAATGATTTTCTGTCTGAATGATCAACCCATCGTTCAAAGTGGGATATTGAAGTCCCCTACTATTATTGTATTGTTATCTATTTCTCACTTGAGTCCTGTCAATATTTGTTTTATTTATTCTTTTTTTTTTTAAAGATTTTTTTTTTCCTTTTTCTCCCCAAAGCTCCCCGCCATTACATAGTTGTATATTCTTCGTTGTGGGTCCTTTAGTTGTGGCATGTGGGACGCTGCCTCAGCGTGGTTTGATGAGTAGTGCCATGTCCGCGCCCAGGATTCGAACCCACGAAACACTGGGCCGCCTGCAGCGGAGTGCGCGAACTTAACCACTCAGCCACGGGGCCAGCCCCGTTTGTTTTATTTATTCTGGTGCTCTAATATTGGGTGCATATATGTTTATGATTGTTATATCCTGTTGATAAATTGTTCACTTTATCATTATACAATGACTTTCTTTGCCTCCTCTATGGTTTTTCAGTTAAAATCTACTTTGTCTGAGAAAAGTAGAGTCACTCCTGCGCTCTTTTGTTTACCACTTGCATGGAATATCTTTTTCTATCCCTTCAATGTCAGCCTATGTATGTCCTTAAATCTAAAATGAATCTTGTAAGCAGCATATAGTTGGATTTGTTTTTTATCCATTCAGCTACTCTATGATTTTTATTGGAAAATTTCATCCTTTTACATTAAAAGTAGTTATTAATAGGTAAGGACTTGCTAATGTTATTTTGTTAATTGTTTTCTGACTATTTTGTAGTTCTTTTTTTCCTTTCTTCCTTTTCTATTGCCTTCCTTTGTGATTTGATGATTTTCTTTAGTGGCACACTATGATTGCTTTCTCTTGATCTTTTCGGTATCTACTACAGTTTTTAAAATTTATTTTATTGGGGTCATATTGACTTACAACGTTGTGTAAATTTCTACATCACTATATATCAGTTTCTGTGTAGACTGAATCATGTTCACCACCAACAGTTCAGTTTTTATCTGTCACCACGCATATGAGCCCATTCACCCCTTACACCCTCCCCATACCCCCCTTCTCTTCTGGTAACCATTAATGTATTCTCCTTATCTGTGTGTTTGATTGTTTGTTTTATCTTCCACATATGAGTGAAATCATATGGTATTTGTCTTTCTCAGTCTGACTTATTTGCTCAGCATAATATCAAGGTCCATCCGTGTTGTCACAAAAGGCACAATTTTGTCCTTTTTATGGTTGAGTACTATTCCATTGTATATATGTACCACATCTTCTTTATCCATTCATCCATTGATGGACACTTGGGTTGCTTCTATGTCTTGGCTATTGTAAAGAATGCTGTGATGATCATAGGGGAGCATACATCTTACTGAATTGTTGATTTCCAGTTCCTTGGAGAAGATCTTTCTACAGTGATGTAATTAGGAGTTTTATTGGCTCAGGTATTTGTAAGACTGATTCCTTCCCCAGGATTGGGAAATTCTCAGCTATTATTTCTTTGAACAAGCTCTTTGCTCCATTATCCCTTTCTTCTCCTTCTGGGATACCTGTGATCCTTATGTTATTTTTCCTAATTGTGTCAGATATTGCTCAAAGAATTTCTTCATTTTGTTTTAAATCTTTGTTCCCTCTCCTGCTCCACTTGACTCATTTCTAGGTTTCTATCCTCGAGCTCACTAATTCTCTCCTTTATATAGTCTCATCTGTTTTTACTGCTTTCTACATTATTTTTCATTTCACTTATTGTGTTTTTTATCTCCAGAAGTTCTGTTTTTTTTTTTTTTAGAGTTTCAATTTCCTTGATGAAGTACTCCTTCTGTTCACTAATTTTATTCCTGCCCTCATTGAACTATCTCTCTGAGTTTTCTTGTAGCTCATTTTCTTTATGACAGCTATTATGAACTCTCTGTCAGTCAGATTGTAATCTGTGACTTTTAAGTTTGGTTTCTGGAGAGCAGTCCTTCTCCTTCTCTTCTGCCATGTTACTGTAGCTCTTCAAGGTGTTTGATGAATTGGTCTTCTGCTGACACTTTTATGATACTAATCACCTTTCTTATTTAGGTATGGCTTTGGTTACTTTGTTTCTGTACTGCTTTGGGTTATATTTGAGAGCCTACACATTCCTCTCTCCACTGCCTCTGCCAGGGGCATCATCAGTGCCCTCCTTGTGCAGCTCATGCCTCTGTGGCTGCTGATGCCTTTCCTTTAGTCTCAAGTGTCACTACCAGGGTCACCAGGCTGCAAGCATTTCTAATATTTCTGTGGTCACCTTGGTCTTGTGTTCCTCAAGTGGTTCTCCAGAGGCTCTTCTTGGGTTCAGATGCTGCTGCCCTGTGCACCACCTGTGCTGCTGTTCTTGGCTTTTCTGTGATTTCTGGTTGCACTGCAACCATGGGTGCTGGATTCATAGGTGTTGCTGTCACTGCTTGGGCCAAGGGACTTGGAGAACTGTGCACAGCCCCCACTGTTGGTGGAGCTGATGTTGGTGATGCCATGACTGGGGGCTAGATCACCAGTTCTGCTGTGGTTACTGAAGCATCTGGTCATAGGTTCCACCTGCTACCACTAGGGGGGAGGAGGGGCTAAGCAGGTTTAAGTTTTTGTGGTTGCTCACTGTGCAGCTTCTGATCTCTAGTGGTAGCTGGTGTGTTTTTAAAACTCAGGTTAGAGTGTCCCACCCCAGCTGGGAAATCAAGCTTTGAATACTATCTCCAGTGTTGGAAAGACCTGGCCAATGCTGTAGAAGGGGTAAGGGGCATGCACACTGGATCTGCTGGTAGACAGGCAGGGAGCACTCTGATCCACACTCTCTGCCCTTGCCAGACTGTTCAAGCAAGCCACGCTTGTATCCTTGCAAATTTCTGGACCAGTTTGGGGATCTGTGCCTTTAATCATTGCTGCTAAGGCAGGCAGGAGGGGGCGTCTCTCTAGTTCCACTTCCTTCCAAGGGTCCAGTCCACCCACCTTCAGCTATATAGATGCCTGGATTTCTTATGCATTCTGTTGTGCTGTGTAGGGAATCCTCTCTTGGTCAATGGATGTTGAACTCATTGTTGGATATGAGAATATGTCCAATTGGATGTGACTTAGAGGGGAGAAGCGAAGGGAACAACTCACTCTGCCATGATGCTGATGTCACTCTCTACTGTAGTTTTTTTTTCTTTGTGATTACCATAATTACTGAGAAATCTTATAATTAAGGGGTCAATTTAAACTAAGAACTATACTTTAATCGCATTTAAAAACTCTCCTCTTTCTTCTCTTCCTTCCACATTTTGTTTTGATGTCACAATTTATATATTTTTATACTGTTTGTACATAAATAATTGTAGTTATAGTTGTTTTTAATATTTTTTTCTTTTTTAACTTTTCTGCTTGAGTTAAACATGATTTATGTACCACCATTATACTGTACTATGGTCTGAATATTTGTGTCCCCAAAAATTCACATGTTAAAATCCTAACCCTTAAGTTGATACTATCAGGAGATGGGGCCTTTGAGAGGTGATTAGGCCATGAGGGCAGAATCCTCATGAATGAGATTAGTGCCCTTATACATGAGGTCAGAGAGAGCTCTCTCACACACTCTGCTATGTGGGGTTACAGTGAGAAGATGACTGTCTACAATCAACTGGATCCTCACCAGATACGAATATACTAGGACCTTGCTCTTGGACTTTACAGCCTCCAGAACTGTGAGAAATAAATACCTGTTGTTTATAAGCTACCCAGTCTATAGCATTTTTGTCATAGCAGCCTGAATGGACTAAGAAACAGGATTAGAGAGTTTTGAATTTGACTACACAGTTACCTTTACCAGTGAGTTTTATACCTTTGTGTGTTTTCATGTGCTAATCAGTGTCTGTTCATTTCAACTTGAAGAGTTCCTTTTAGTTTTTTTGTAAGGCAGTTCTCATGGTAACTCTCCCAGCTTTTTTTGTCCTGTGAAAATCTTTATCTCCCCTTCATTTTTGAAGGACAGCTTTGCCAGGTATAGTACTTGGGGTTGGAAGTTTTTTTCTTTCACTGTTTTGAATATATCATCCCACCCTTTCCTGGCCTGTAATATTTCTACTGAGAAATCCGCTCTAAGTTTTACCGGGGCTCCCTGGTACGTGAAGAGTAATTTTTCTCTTGTTGATTTCAAAATTCTCTCTTTGTGTTTGACTTTTAAGAATTTGATTATAATATGTCTTGGTTTAGATCTTTTGATGTTCAACTTATTTGGGGTACTTTGAGAATCATGAACCTGGGTGTTCATTTTCCTCCTCAGATTGGATAAGTTTTCTGTCATTGCTTCTTTAAATAATCTTTATGCCCTTGTCGTTTGCTCTTTCTGGGACTCCAGTAGTGTGTATACTGGTTATTTTAATGGTACCCATAAGTCACATAGGCTTTCTTACACTTTTTCATTCCTTTTTCTTTTTGTTCCTTTAACTGGATAATTTCAAATGACTTGTCTTCGAGTTTGTTGATTCATTCTCTTGCATGATTGATTATGCTATTGAAGGTTACTGTTAAACTTTTTGGCTCAGTTATTGTATTCTTTAGTTCCAAGATTTCTGTTTAGTTCTTTTTTATGTTTTCTATTTCCTTTTTAAAATTTCCATGTGGTGTATGTATTGTTTATCTGATTTTATTTAGTTGTCTGGGTTCTCTAGTAGTTCATTGAGCTACTTTAAAACAACTATTTTGAATTCTTTGTTGGGTAGTTCATGGATCTCCATTTCTTTAGGGTCAGTTACTGGCACTCTATTAGTTTCCTTTGGTGTTGTCATGTTTGCCTGACTCTTCATGATCTGTGCAGCCTTGCATTGGTGTTTGTGTATTTAGAAGAGCAGGCACCTCTTCCAGTCTTTACAGACTGGTTTTGGCAGATAAATCCCATCCTCTGCTGCTTCCTTTGACTTACAGGGCTGCCTCCAGGATTGTGATGGAGCAGGGCTGGAGCTGGGCCTTGCAGCTGTTGCTGGGTCTGCACTTGGGTCTTTAGTTAGCAACTGTGTTACTGGGGATGTGGATGGGTGTGATTTCTGCTGGGTCTTTGAGTACAGCTCTGTTGGGTCACTTGGGTGGTCCCTGGGGAGCAAGAACTACCTTTGGACCACAGTGGAGTGGGAGTGGAGCAAGGTCACAGGATTGCTTCAGCAACAGCAGTCAGGTCTGAGGTCGGTGAGCATGTTACCAGGGCATAGATAGGCATGGCTCCTCCTTGGTCCCATGGCAGAAGTGGCTGGTGGCAGAAACACAGACAAGTAGGGCTAGAGTTGAATCCACAGGAGGATGGGGCAGCTTTCAGTTTGCAGATGGGGTTATAGTCAGTGAGGCTGCCACCAGGGCATGTGCCGGCCTTCTTAAAGTGGCTGTCCTTGGTCTTGGGCTCCACTGGGGTTTCACAACCCCCTTACTTGGATCTGGAATCTTCCCACTTTTTTCTGAAGATGGCTGCCAAATATTGGTTTCTTTTTGGGGGGAATGCAGGGTGTAGACCTCTTATTCCACCATCTTGCTTCCAGCACATGATATTCTAATTGTGCCTGTGAGTGTGTATAAGCCTCTATCAATTCATACACATAAACTGGTTGGTTTTCACCAAAGTGGAGAATATTAGAATAAAAAATATTTATTCATTTACTCAAAAAAATTTTAGTAACATTTATGCACAGCACTTCACTAGGTGCTGAGCATAATGGGAAGACATGGGAGGCAGTATTTCTGTGCTCAGGAAGCTCCTTATACAGAAGGGCCCCCAACAAGACCAATGTATAAGAAGCAGCTATGTAACAAGATCCCAGTTAAATAACTGTCGAGGCAAAGTTACCAGAGATGGTGCAAGCAGCTAATAAAGTATATGCAGGTAGCTGGTAATGACTTTATGAAACAGAGGGGGACTAGGAGCTGGAGGGGGCAGGGATGAAATGGAGCACAATGCAATAAAAAAGGACCCCACAGTTGGAAGCTGCATGAAATACTTCAGAAATAGGAAGTACATTCTAGTGTGACACCAATACAGAAAGGCAGAACAGGGTAATGGCCAGGAGCATGCGCTTTGGGGTCAAACAGGATGGGTTTAAATTAATGGGCTCAAAACTCCATTCTGTCACCTACTGTCTACTTAAACTATTTTTGGTGTGTAAAATGGGGATAATCAATCATAAAACTTATCTCATGGGGATATTGACAAGATTACATGAAATAATATATGTGAATGTCTACCACATAGAATGCATTCAGAAAAATATTAACTACATTTAAAACAATACAAAATCCATTTGACCAAGATATCTAGGTAATGGCAAAGAATCCATTGATCTCTATAAAACACTTAGGTTTAGATGACTCCTCTATCAGCCCCATGTGGACCAGAACAATATCTCTCTCTCACACACACACTGCTGGATTTCCATTGTCTTGTCCAGTTCCTAGCATATGGTTGGCATTCCAAAAATTTTTGTTGAATAAATTAACCAAATCTAGCCCTCATCTGGAATGTCTAATCAACTTATAAATTTGCCAATTTTGCCTCCTTTCTCTCCCCATTACCCAATTCTGAAACCTGTACCCACCTATCTCTACTTATTGAACTAGTTCTCTAATTAAATGATTACATAATGAATAAATATTCAATAAATATTTATGGAATGTCTCCTATTTGCCAGGCACTGTTATAGGTCCTAGGGAATACATGGTGAACCTGAGCTCACAGAATTTCTACTCTAGAGAGGGGAAAGTAAACAAACAAAGTAAAGAAGTAAGTAAGATAATTTCGGATAAACACTCTGAAGAAAATGAAACACAGTCATCTCTTGCTCTGCATCCTAACTAGTTTCTCTGCTTTACATCTGGTGTCACTGAAGTCTACCTACTGCCAGAGTGATACATCTAAATTACAAATTCTGACCTTGTCACTCTCCTACTTGAAACCCTTCCATGGATCTCCATTGCTTTTATAATAAAATCCGAGCTACTTACCATCCATGACTTGGGCCCTGCATGACTCTCTCATCTGATCTCTCCCACTACTCCCTACTTCCCAGAACCCCCAACTCATGAACACAAATGCCATTTCTTCACTTTTGTGCCCTTTCTCCTTTGATTACCCTCCCTATAATCTCTTGCCACACACAAACATCTTTGCCTGGCTGACTCCTATGTTCTCATTCAGTTTTCTCAAGCATCACTTCCTTCAGGTACCTTTAATGATCAGCTTATCCTGTTTACCACACACACACACACACACCCTATACACTGGGATGGGCGGCCCTTCTGTGTGTTTCTAGTATTTCACTTACACCTTGTATGATAATTATATTACTTTGCTTCATATTTCTGTTTCTCCCACCGATCAAATTCTTGCTAGCAGATACCATTTTTCATTCATCTTACAGGTCCAAGCACAATGCCTAATATGTATAGACAATTAATAAATGACCATTAAATTTTTAAAAATGAGTTTTTAATGGAAGAAATAATAAATGGACAGAAAAAAATAGGCATTGCCTTTGAAAAGCCAACGAATTCTTGTTCTATGCTTACCTCTGGTTGGTTATTTATTTATTTATTTATTTATTTGTGTTTTGCAGCTCCTATCAGTGGACAATTTGGTGAGTTCTCCTTTCTTTTGCTCTTCAGTGTCTCTGGATAAAAATGTCTCCCTAATAAATATGAAACATTTATAATGGCTGTCTGAGGATCCCTAATGTCTCCTGTTCTTTTTGTGAAGACCAGTAGAGATGTGACAATGTCACCTGGTCTATTGACATTACCCAGGATAGCTTCATGATCACCCTCTGAACCTCCCTGGAAGAAGTGGTATATGCATAAGCAGCTCCTGGTGTTTGCCATGCCCCACACTTAGTCCTATTGCAAATGGACTCCAGTTAACAAGACAAGATATCTTCCACTCCACTGCAAATGTGCAGGGCTTGGGATAAGATTTTCCTGAGCCAGCAAGCCAGAAAAGCTCCTCTGAAAACATCACATTGTGGAGATACGGCAGCAATATTGCATCCTATACAGTTTCAGGAGTAAAGTCCTCCAGGAAATGTGTGGAGAGCATGAGAACATCCAACAACTGAGCCCTTCAAAGGAAGAAATGCATAAAAATTGGAGATTACGAGAGAAGACGAATTGTCTGTTTCACATACTTTCTTAGTTCTGACTCTCATTGCCATTCTTCTCGGTCAGAGAATGTCTTGGATACTTGAGGACCTATGAATAGCAAGAACACTCTTAAATCTCGCTCTTTGTCCAAAATCAGCTGCAGCAGAATTTCATCCTTGTCTAGGTCATGTCTGGACTCCAGTGAATGACTTGTTCATCCTTTGCTCTGCCACAATTAGCTATGATGGGATTTTTCTGATCATTTGCATCATCATGGACAAAATGAAGGTGTTAGACAAGTTCATCTCTCAAGCTTTTCTCAGTGCCAAAATCTTAAGATAACATAGTTCATCCTCTTAGAGAAAGTGCAAAATTGTGATTTTAATAACTCTTTGGGAAGTTCTTATGGTTTTATGAATAGGATGAAGTGGCAGGGGCAAGGGGTGACTTTTCTAGGATCCGTTACATAACAGGATAAGTAGCCATTTTTTCCCATTGACAGTTGGCAGTGAATCTTGCCGCTATTGCCCTCTTAAATCCATTTTGCTTATTGCCATCCCCTGAGCAATCACTGTCCCCTGGGAAGGTGAGTGCTCTGGCTGACACGCAGACTTGAGTGATCAATAACCTTCCCAGGGGGTTTTCTTTGGGATTTTCTAAAGTCATATCCTCCAGTCTGTCCCCCCAAACCACAGTAATGGGGACTGCAAGCAACTCAGCTCAGATTCTTTTTGTCTTTTCTCCTCAGCAACTGGACCTAAATCTGTGATTTCCCTCCATCCTCCATGGACCGTTGCCTCCCAAGGAGAGAAGGTGAAACTGATTTGCAATGGACCTCACTTCAGCCAACCAGGGAAAGCAACATGGTACCGTTGGTACCATAAGGGAAAAATATCAAGTGAAACCCTAACTAACACCCATGAGGTTCATGATTCTGGGGAGTACAGTTGCCAGACCTCAGGCTCACTCCTAAGTAACCCTGTGAGCTTGCTCTTTTCTGCAGGTGAGAAAAAAGTGAAAGAATTAAAAACTTTTGAAATCATATAGTTACCTAAAACTTACCCAATATTTACTGAATCAGAATCTATAGGAATAGGACTGAGGAATTTTTATTTTGTACAAGCCTCTCTAGTAAAAGGAAATTGGAGAACAATTTATTTGAATGGTTCCTGGATCTATGGATGGTTTTAAGAATAGATCGTTTACATGAAATAATAAGCAGCATGAGGATTATTCATATTTAGAGATGATAGATAGATAGATGGGTACAGGGATAGAGAGTTGGAGAAAAGAAGAACCATTTCCTTTTTTGTCCAAAAGCCACCTGTTTTGAATTTGAAGCAGTATCTCTCTAGTTATAATGCTCCTTAATTTAGTGAACAAGGAAACAGTATAGTAGCAATGAATAAATAAAATGCTTATCCTCTTTGACCCGACAATTCCCCTCTTAAGAATTTACCTACTGAAACAATCATGGATATACACCTACGAAACTGCAGGACCTTAAATGGTCAAGAAAAGAAAACTCATTAAATAAATTACTTTGCTGCCATTGAAGGAAACTTCATGACCATTGAAAACTGGGTTCAGTAGTGATATTGATAACAGAAAAGTGTTCAGGGCATAGTAAGGGAAAAGCAAGTTATCAAAGAGATGAATATTATTCCAATTTCATAAAAAAAAATACACACACTCTCACATACATGCACATGGAAAAGAGAACTGGAAAAGCATATGCCAAAATCTGGGTGGTGAGATGATAGGAGATTTTTATTTACATTTCTGCTTTCCTAATTTTTTCAAGACATATGTGTTCAATGTAAAATCAGAAAGCAGAAATGACAATTATTTTAAGAATGCTTTTCCCAGCCCTCTTTCCTATAAAATCTACTTGGAACAATAACAAAAAGAAGGGAGAAACAATGAGGTGAAAGAAATAACTGGTCTTGTGTTTCCTACAGCTACCCTCATCCTGCAGGCTCCACTTTATGTGTTTGAAGGAGACTCCGTGGTTCTGAGATGCCGAGCAAAGGCAGGAGTAGCACTGACTAATGTGACCCTATACAAGAATGATAGATTGCTGGCATTCCTTAGTAACACCTCCGACTTTCAGATTCATCAAGCAGATCTGAAGGACAATGGAGCATATCACTGTACTGGATTTAAGAAAGGTTGTTGCTCTATTATTTCAAACAGAGTCAATATCCAAGTCCAAGGTAAAGACTTCATTACTTGTGAAATGGGTTAGTCAGAAGCAGGGTCTCTGAGGTTGTAGAAGGGAGAATAGGAAGAAAAGGGTGGACTGGAATACCATTGAACCTCCGGGTGCATTCCTGTAAGGAACAGAGAAAGCGCAACTGTGCTTTGGGCTGAAGGA